CATACCGAGAGGGAATGAATCAGTTTGGCTTAGGGATGTCTGACTGAGGGGTGTAAGACCTACTTCGATGCAATTATGTTAAGTGAATTGAGCCGATTTGTGCTAGCATTCATTTCGTTTTAAGAGTGTTGTGAAAGCCTATTTTAAATTCGTCTTCCTGAGCTACGAAGTAGGGGCCCTATATGACTGGTTTTTCTGAGTGAGCAAACAAATAAAACCATCACACTTCAAGGAAGGGAGGATATGCAACCGAGGGGTCCCGGGTTTCTAGTGCTATTGTGTTTGTCAGGACCTTCGTATTTCAAGTGTATAGCCACTGAATAGTGCGTTCACGTCCGTACGCCGCCTGACTAAAAGGATTAACTGTGCAAACACGTACCTAAACCCCGGAAATTTTGACAACCTGGCAGATTTTCGAGACTGGCCGTCGACGGAAGTGGTGTACAGGCATTGCGGATGAAATTGGGTGAAGCTATTTGACAGAGATACGCCAGCGCTTATGTGAATTGTCAATCTACTCGTTCCCTACCCGTTGCGGTCATCGTCACACCAAAACATTCGTACACGCTTTTCAAAAATTCGCCATAACTTGTTCGGGTGGTAAAGATGGCGGATGTCTCGGCAACGGTGGGGTATAGGAGCCCAACTAACTTGAGCTAGCCTGTTAACCGTGTCATACGTTGAATGCTTGTAGAGCGAGTTTTACGGGTGGGACAACACATAGGACGGAAGACACGGAAAATCAATGAATTTCTGTCGAAAGTCTCGTCGTGCACGGTCATTTGGCAAAGGAAGTGATCGCGGTAATGAAAAGAAAAAAGCAAAAATTGAATTTCAAAAAATAAAGAAATTTGAAAAAACCACCGCTGGTAAGTTTGCACTTGGTCAGGAAGGCAAGGGGATTGCAATCAACGAAAACGGTGAGTAGTAATAAGTGGTGTTTGCAGTCACACTGAATTTTAGTGTATATTCTGGAGTTGACAGCTACATGGGTTCCTACACCCTACCGTTACCAAAGTCCCTAATTCTAACATTAATTACTCGGAAGAAGAGTCCAGCACTGCAACACTTGGTTTATTGTCCTGAGCTTTCAGACTCCTGCAGCGGTCCATCGTCAGAGGTAGTAGCAGCAACAGAACAAGCGACAGTTGTAAGGCGTGTAGGCCGATCATCGACCGACGGCGCGAGACTGGGGGGTGACTACACAGGGCTCTGTACACCGGCGCCCGTGAGTCTTGCGCAAGAGACTTGAAGAGGCGTATGATGAGACTCAAAATTGAACACCGCATGAGGCCGTTTTAAATTTGCCAACAACCCTTCCTCCCTTTTGCTGAAGAGACTTATGAACAAATCAAGGGAACTCCAATGGGCCCACCGGTCTCCGGTTTAATGGCAGAACTGGTCCTAGAGGAGTTAAAAAATATTGCCTTCATCCAACATGAGCCGGTATTTTGGCGCCGTTACTTAGACGACACTTTTTACATGGTAAAGAAGGGAATGCTACAACATTTCCACAGCCTGCTCAACGCGGTCTTCCCTGATGTAAAATTCACGAGGGAAGATGACAGGAACAGCAGTTACCCTTCCTGGATGTGCTTGTGAGACGAAACCTAAACGATGAACTTGAAAAGACGTTTTATAAGAAGGCAAAGAACACCACACAGCTTCTCGGTTTTCACAGCAACCATCCGGTAGCCAACAAACGAAGTTGTGTGAATGCTCTCCTCAAACATATCCAAACTAATTGCAGCAATCCGGAGGAAAGAGTACGCGAGGTCCGTTATCTCCGCGACCAGTCTGTGCAAAATGGCTATTCGAGGGCATTCATAAATCGTTCGAACATCAACAACGCTAACGATATGGCATTCTCTGTCATACAACAAGGACGCTTCAGAAGCGACCGAGCGCATTGCAGCGGAGCTAGGTATCGGATTGCACACCGCCCCAAAGCCACCATGTGTAGCAGGGTCATGAAAACTAAAGACCGGTTAAAGCCTGAAGAGCAATCTGGAGTAGCGTATCGCATCCCGTGCCAAAACTGTCCTTGTAACTATACAGGGCAGGGTAAACGCATGCTCGGATCGCGCATACACGAACATAAGCTGGCTGTACGACGAGACAACGCATTATCACATGTGGCCGCCCACACCTACGAAAAGAGCTACGAGTTAAACTTCGCAGCCACCAAAATAGTCGCCAACGCCGGAAACGAAACAGGCCGAGAATTGATTGAAGCCTGGGCCTCGGATCAGAATTAGGTCAATGGATTTATCAATCTGCTGCCGGCGTACAGAGCCCTGCGTAGTCACCTCCAGTCGTGCGCCGTCGGTCGATGATTGGCCTATATATCCTATTGTGCTGAAGTACTTGACTTTGGCAACCTTATCACGTTTGTTTTACTGTAGCATTTGTTTTAACGTGACGAGGACTCCTCCGCTTGTAAGCTTCGCGCCGCTTGCATGCTCTCTGGTCAGGTCGTTGCACATTTTGAATATTAACTTTATTCACTTACTGGCCTTCCTTACCTCTCTCCGTTTATGAGGTTAGTTCGTTAGTTCGCGGGAACGACATAACTTACGGTCAATCGATTTATCGATCTGGCGCCGGCTTACAGAGCCCTGCGTAGTCACCTCCAGTATTGCGCCGTCGGTCGATGATTGGCCTACATGCCTTATAACTGTCGTCTGTTCTGTTGCTGCTACTACCTCTGAGGCTGGACTCCTGCAGGAGTCTGAAAGCTCAGGACAATAAACAAAGTGTTCCGGTGCTCGGCTCTTCTTCTTCACTTATGCATACACCTGGAACTCAAAATTTCACCGTCACTCGTCATTAATTACTCTGTGACGACTATAAGGAACTAGGACAATTATTCGCGGAGGGTGTTTTGTCTGCAAGTTTCGGTCGTCCGGCTAATTATCCGTATACCTCCATGCATCAGCGAGGAGTTCCCTCACAGTCGTAGACCAAATTTTTACAATAAGAATTATAGTCTGTAGAAAACCTTATCTGACCAATTGTCTGCTTTCAGCCCCTGTAGAATTACCAACGGAAATCTTTTGGAGCACGGATTAGAAGTGGGAGACATGAGACTGCAAGTAGTTTAAGAAATTCACTAAATCGGGTTGCTGGTGGCAAGAAGTCGGGCCACATCGGAACGTCATACTACCTTCGGCCCCTTCGGCCTAGTTGCGTTGACTGCTAGTATTTATGCAGGCGAATTTAATATGTTAGTCATAAGAACGGTCTACATGGGAGAGTTTACCATTTGAAAGGAAACTTGTTTGCATATTAGGACACAAGGATTTACTTCCTCCACTGGGAGCGTTAAGCAAGCTTCGGAAACAATTCCTGCAAATGCGTATGTACTAAGAGTGAAGCGCAGGAGATAGAGTTCTCGGTATAGCAGTATACCAGCTGCCGACATCGTCACGGAGTTCTGTGGCTATGCCTAATTACACAGCAGCCACTACGTAGCGAAACCTTGTATAGCCGAGTGTGACTAGGCGTTTGCGCGGTCAGAGCGCGATGCCACTAATCCACACGATCGGGAGGTCGAAGGTGTGAATGCTGGTCAACGCCTCACCGATGACTGTGTTGGTCAAAAGTTAGCTGAGGAAGTTGGATGGCGGGAATGTTTTCGATGAAGGTTAGGCGTGACACCAGGACTAACTGAAAAACGGCGGGGATGGCGTGGGCAGCAAATCAAACCTAATTAATCCAATGTGGTCCTCTGCGTTGGTTGGAAACAAAT